CTTATCTCTTAATTACTAATTAAAAAGTTTTTAAAATTAATATTTAATTTTGCATTTTAGGTCTTGTTTTAGTTACTGATGCACTGTCAGCGCTAGGATTAGAAGAAGGCATACATCAATTAGGACAGCTTAAAATCGAAATGCGCTCGGGACGTGCATATATTGCTGAGACAGATATACTGTGTGGAAGTACAGCAGAAATGTCGAAATGCGTTCGTCATTTCAAAGAAGCAACAGGTAATTTAAACAATATGACATGTATGATATATAGATTTTTTAAATTCAATTTTGATCTTTTTAAGAATTATTAATATTTTTTATTAGCTTTTGTTCTTTACTATAATATCTTGCAAACAGCTCTGTATGTTGATAAAGATTACTGTTTCAATATTCTTATGGAAGAATATTTAACTATACTATTTATATCCAATTACTATACAATATTATTTTTTTTATAGGCTGTTCAATAGTAGAATCTTTAGAAGCCGCGACTCTCCATCCGGCAAGAACCCTAGGTATTGAAAAGACTAAAGGAGTCTTAAACTATGAAGCAGATGCTGATATGGTAATGTTGAATAAAAATTTAGAACTGTTATCGACGTGGATAGCGGGAGAATGTGTTCACTGTAATTGCAAGTATGTCGAATATTGTCAGTAAAGCACAGAACATACTATCCAAATAATTGCTTAATGCTCATGGACATAGGAATATGTTCCTGTGCCTATGTCAATATTACTCAACGATCGGTCACTTTTATTAGAGAAACTGGCGGAATTGATTTCACAAAACAATCAGAGAAAAATGTGGTCATTTACCCACTTGTATTAATTATATGAGCATGTACTATATGCCTTAAATATTACACTTTTCGTGTATAATGCGCGACGGCTGTGAATATCGTTCTAGCCATAATTTTATTCGTCTATCTATTCATATTGTAAGATATATAATTATATACGCATTTTATATAAAAATATTTTTTACGAATGTACTTATATTTTGATACATATAAAACAAAGATTAATTTTTACCTTTATTGTATTCGAGGGAATATGCCTTTAATAATACAAAGTCAAAAACAATTATATAATTTTTGTCTTTAAATTAACAGCAAAAAGGTCAGTTATTTTTTATAGTTAGGTACAAATAGGATGTATATCTATTTCGACAAAAAATGTTACTCGTTATAAAATATTTAGATAACAAACAGTTTTAAAATATATACAAATAAATTGTTATTTTTAATTCATGCATTATACCATTTATTACAAAATATCCTTGATCGTTTTTTAGGGCTGAATTGTACATATAAAGTAGGTTTAATGTGTAGAATATTTATTTCGTCAAATTTTTGAAATAAATATAGTATACATGAAAAAATAGAAAGGCTAGGTTACTATTTCGTTTGATATCAGTATTATGTGAAAGATCATCTAATTAATATCGTCATTATCACAATTTGTAATATACATAAAATTGTTAAATGTGTGTTTTTTTTTTATATAGAAATATATTTTTCTTCTTACATTTGAACAGTTAGTTACACCAATATTTTAATTACACATTAAACAATATTTTGTAGTCATTTTAGCAAAGCATTCAGAAATCAGTTGTTCGCATGAAAAGTTACTGTTTCACAATAAAATATTGTTATTGTTACATCAATTGTATGTGGTCTGTTCTTTCAACGACGATGAAAGCCAAGTCGCGTAAGGATCTTATGTTAATAAACGACGTCCTTCAGGTTGCATATATATGGTGAGTGTCTAATACCAAATGAATGTGCTGGAGGAATGTCAAGAATTACCTGTAAAAGTTAGTTTTTACCGCTATAGGAGTATTCCTTAAAAAGTTAATAATCATAAGAAAACTAATATCTGGTCCAGTCGTGCACTTTTTCTGAAATCGAGTTAGGATCTTAAAAGTATTTTTTGTCAGAATACTGATATTCTTTAGATATAAACATAAATAATTAGTTTCAACACAGTTTATTCTGAACTTTCACGAATACTGATATTATGTTGGGATATATATACTATTGAGATCCATCCAACTCGAACGTCAGATAGATGCGATTTCTGGATGTATACCCTCAAAAATAATTATACAGTTTATTAAGTGATGTCTATTGAACAAGCTCTGAAATTTTGAGTTTTTTAGTTTTTGAATAAATAGGAAGAAATTAGAAGTACTTTTTCTGGGCAATGAGCTCCAGGTCCTGGAATCTGGGAATGATCATCGGGCAGCTGATAGCGGGCACTTATGCTATAAGCAGGACTTTTCACTCTGATTGCATCTGGTTTAACAGCTTCGTATGTTCCAGGTCCAGGAACTAAAACACGATCATCTGTAGAAACTTTCTGTCTACCAGAGATAGAGTAAGCCGGTGCTGCTTTTTTGTTTCCTTCCTTTGTTCCACCGAGAGCAGAAGGAATATTATAAACGTTCGGAGCTGAAACAGAATAAAAATAGCGGCGACTTCACTGATGTTAGATTGTAAAAGCATATATTTTCCTTAGAAAGTAATAATCACTTTATATACAAAAAAAATATAGCATTTTGAATAATAGACATTATTTGTATAACTACGCAAAGAAAAGATAAACTAGCGGAAACAAAGAAACAAATTCTGTAAATTTACCTGGAATATCATCTGGTCTATTTATACTTGTTCTAAGACCAAAAGTAAATCGCAATGCTTTTTCCAATAAAAGCATAGCTTTTTCTGGACTGTATTCACCTGGACCTTTAAACCAAATATTAAATCTATTGAACAAATACACAAAATGAACAAAATATAATAAATTTTAAAAGACTACCATACCTGGTATAGAATCCGTTTCACGTACTTCAGGCTTAACTCCAAAACTATAATGAGGTGATTTATTCAAATTTACCTTTTCAGGATGATAACTTCCTGGAGCTAAATTTTTAATATATCAAAATAAGTGACTATTATGCATTATCATAAACGTTCTATAAATTCTATTATTTACTTTTACGAATATTACTTACCAGGTATATCACCAGTTTTTTCGTAAGATGTTTTTAAACCAAACGAATAACGTGGCGATTTATCTAAATTGACTTTTTCTGGAGAATAAGTTCCAGGAGCTACAAAATGGAAGAAAGGAATACTAATGCAATCGTAAAAAAGATGTAGTAAAATGATATTCCCTTATGTAGCTATTATAAATTATAGCACAGTATTATAACATGTATGTGATTGAAAAAACAATTTCAGTAATGTAACTGTAAATATCATCAATAAGATCTTTTTTACAATTTGCAAAATTTAAAATGGTATATGAAATTCATCTTTTAATGCTAGGTGAAATTCATAAACACTTTGTAATTTTAAAAACGAAATATTAAAATAAAGTTATACAGCAGTTACAAAGCTGTAAGCGAAAAAGAAGTTAAGAAAAAAATATAAGAGCTGAAGCTTTAACATGCTTTGAATTAAAAATTGCACCATATATCAGAAGCATGAAATGTTTTTAATTGTTTTAGAACTGTTTTAGAATCTAGCTTTGCGGTAGTTTAGTAATAATTTGTTAGTCAACACCGTTACCTGGTGTATCCCTAGGCTTTTCCAAGGGCTTTCTATTACCAAAACTGAAATAAGGTTTATGTTCCAAATTTAGTACTTTCTCTGGATAATAATCAGCAGGGCCTACCAAAGCAATCAAATCATTAGTAATTGTTTCTGCAGAATGTTAAAATCTAAACCAACTTTTCCAAAATAAGAAGCTGCTGCAATTTGCACTAAATAAAATTCACCTGGGTTGTCATTGAATTTTTCCAGTGTACCTTTTCCTGATAAGCTATATTGCGGCCCTTTATCTAAATTTACCTTCTCAGGGCTGTATGTTCCAGGTGCTGTGTTAATAAATAGAATATCTAAGTCTCTTTACTACAATTGTTGTAGGATTAATTCATCGCTAATATCTTGTTATGTAAAGGAAATGGGAAGATTGAATTTTTTATTTTAATCACCTGGATTATCATTAGGCTTCTCTGGTAAACCTTTACCAGATAAACTGAATTGAGGACCTTTGTCCAAATTTACTTTCTCAGGACTATAAGTGCCTGGTGCTATTGAAAAAATTAAATACAAGAAGACATTAATCTAAAAGAATAATATATTAAATAACAAATCAAACTATCAAGAAAATCTAAAAAAAAAAGATAAAAAATTCACCTGGATTATCGTTTGGTTTTTCTGAAATTCCTTTTCCATACAAACTATATTGTGGACCTTTGCTTAAATTTACTTTTTCAGGACTGTACGTACCTGGTGCTATGATAGAAGAAAATGTTAAATATTCACTAAGAATTAAATGCTAATTAAAAATTATTATGTAATTAAGTAACAAAATAGCAAACTAAGTAAATACAAAATAAAGAGAAAACTGATTGTACTGACCAGGGTTATCAATTGGTTTCTCAGAAGATCCTTTACCACTTAAGCTATATTCTGGACCCTTACTCAAGTTCACCTTTTCTGGACAATAATCTCCAGGTGCTGTAGGAGAATAATACACAGAAGCAGTAAAGTAATCCTTTTGTAAACTAACAAAAAAAATTAATGACAAAAATAGTAGTAGAGTGGCTATAATAACTATACCTGGATTAGTGTTTGGTTTATCAAGAGGTGTTCTTATTCCAAAACTATACTGTGGTGCCTTATCAAGATTTACTTTTTCAGGTGCATAAGTTCCTGGTGCTAAAAATTGATTTTCTTTATTTATGTTTAAAACTTAAAAATCTACATATAAAACTAATTTTTTTATAAAAGTTACTATTTGTTCCTTCCAACACAATGTTTAATTTATTAAAATTAATTTTCGTTCAAAAGTCAGATTAATATACGAAATATATTTTTCAAATTCCAAGCTTGTATCTACAGACCTGGATTATTGTCTATTTTATCATAAAAATGTCTTCCGCTTAAACTATACTGGGGACTCTTATCCAAATTAACTTTTTCAGGATTGTAAGTACCGGGGGCTGTAAAAAAAGATGCATGTGATGTAACAATTGCAATAAAAATCTACAATTATATTCTTCATGCAATTACCTGGAGTGTCGCTTATTTTTTCGAGAGGTGTCCTCAGACCAAAAGTAAATTGCGGTGTTGTATCCAATTTTACTTTTTCTGGACAATATGTACCTGGCGCTAAGAATCATTTTTTTAAATTTAATTATAAATAAATACCTTTCATTGTATGCAGACATTAACGAAACTTTTTTAAACATTAGTTATACATTATTTAAAATCAAAATTAATATTTTGTTATCAAAATATTACATTTCAATAGTACGTAAAAATTCGCATACCAGGGGTGTTGTCAGGTTTTTCTACTCGTCCTTTCCCAGTGAGGCTGTATTGAGGACCCTTATCCAAATTGGTTTTTTCAGGGCTATACGTGCCAGGTGCTATAAAAATAAATTGACATGCGCTGGTGATACTACAATTCGTAAATAATGTATATTACATATTATCACAGACAAAGTTACACGGCTGTGATAATAAATTCGTGATTATTACTTTGTCGACCGAACAAATGTACAACAAGTCACGAATTTGCAATAAAATTCATTAGGTTCCAACATGTTATTTAACAACAATTAGTAGAAAATATGTTTGAAAAGGAATGCTTCTACAGGTTTAATTAAATTCGGTCAACAAAATTTTAAACAAGCGTATTAAGTTTGCCTTAATTACCTGGGGTATCGCTCGGTTTTTCGAGGGAAGGCCTGAGTCCAAAACTGAACTGCGGTGTATTGTTCAATCTTACCTTTTCCGGACAGTACGTACCAGGTGCTGATATCATAATATACAAATAATTATTCATTTCATCATAAATAAAATCAATATATTTTAATTCAATTATGCATTTTTCTTTTTAGCGAAACAAATAATAACGAAAGTAATAAAAAATAATATATGACAAAACGATAACAGTGAAAGAAGAAAAATCTATTTCATAAAAATAAAATTTAAAGGATACTTATTAATATCTACAAAAGAATGCAGTTCCTACATAATTTACGTTTAAAGATTTCTTCTTTTAATTTTGTAATACAATATCAAATAAATATCCTAAGTGCAAGTTACTACACATGCAGTTCAATTATTAAATACGTTGCAAGCCAATCATTTTGATTTGCATCATTCTACATACTTGCAAAAACTACAACAATAATTTAGAAGATAGAAAAGTTCGAATAGCAGAGATGCAGTGTGTATTAATCCAAGATCACCAAGCTACAATCGCAAAAGTAAGATAAGAAGCTGGATAGAATATTGTCGTCATTTAAAGGAAAGATTCAAGAAATATAATACCTAAACATCGAACAATGTTTATTCTTCGAGTTTATATCTGTATTTTCGCAGAATTCTTCAGAATACTTCTAGGCGATCGAATCGCTATAACCAATGGAGATTATTCAGCATGACATCGATTTTTCCTAAGGAATCATTTTCCTCTCATGACAAACGTACTTTTTGTTAATTTATTCTAAATTTCTTTTTATTCTAATACCGTTTGAATTATTATAGTATTCTAGGTTGCAGAATTATTAGTAAAATATATTTAGAAAATACACATTTAAATCGATTTAATTACCTTAAAACCAATTTAATCTTATTAAACTGTAGGGAAAGAGATGTACAGACTGTTTAAACAATGTTGGTTAATCAAGCGAGAGATAATAGTAAATGATGAGAGGAATCTGTTTTGCTTAATTTAATCTACACGCACTTATATCTAATCTCGCTCTCTAGAAATGAAAATCTTTACTGCCAATTAATTAAAGCTTTCGACGAGCATCTTTCCAGATAACAATGTCGATAGTACGGATTGATGTATAGCGGGTTACTCGTTAACAGGTGTTTAACATTCCAATCTTTTAGATTTAATTACTAAGAAATGAAACGCGACTAGACATATGCTTAGTAGACAAAAAAGATATTCTTTTCATCATCCCTTATTGTTTCCTGCTCGACTGACATGCATATTTTACAATGTCCTGTACATCTATTTGTTACATTTATGAGATAATTTAAAGTGAGTCTCATTTTTCTCAAGATATGAAAAACAGATAACTGTATTAGTTATTATTTAATTAATATTTGTAAAGATATAGAGTCGTACAGATGCAAGATTTATTGTTTTGATTTAATTAATTACCAGGTATATCGCTTGATTTGTCCAGTACAGGTTTCAACCCAAAACTATATTCGGGGGTTTTGTCGAGATTCACCTTTTCGGTGCAGTAATCATTTGGTGCTGTGATTAAGTCGACATTTATCATAAATATGTTTTAATGAAGATATTCAAAAATATTACATAAACAAGATTATAAATAATGATTTATGGAGGATAACAAAGGATTTTGGATACGTACATGTAAAATATTATTTACATATATACGTATATATAAATATTAACGTATATCTATAATACTCACCAGGTGTACAACTAATCTTCTCGGTTTGCGTTTTGATGCCGAATGAATATTTCGGTGAGCTATCCAGAATAATCTTTCCGGCTTTTTCCGGATTATAATCGCCAGGAGCTGGTGTCACTTCCTGTTTCGTGGATTTCGTGCGGCCATGCAACGATGATGCTTGTGCAGCATCTTTTCCTGCAAAAATGAATACAGAATTTAACAAGTTCTATCTACAACATAATATGAACGAGGTTTAATTAGAAAATAATAAATTTAAAAGATTGTTTCAATTTGAAAGTAGTAAAAAATTAAATTAATTTGAAAATAAGTCTGTTTTTTAAAAATATTGATTATGTTTTTAATCGATTTTATCATCCAATTCTCATACAATTAAATAGAAGTTATTAGAAAATGTACAATATTATGAGTCTCAAGAAGAAGGAATTATTGGTAGAAAAGCAACGGAATGTCGTGAATAACGCACATTAAAAGTCGCATTCTTGCAGGATATTACTGTTCTGAAGTTTGATCGATACTTCATAGAACTCGGAATACCGTTGTCTGCAGAATTCATTTCGTGCTTACACAGCAGTATTTATGTTTAGTTTTGTAGCTTTAATTTCTGTTCACGATAGATAGCGTGTTAATTCTTTGTAGACGATAAAGCTATCATGTACATTGTACATACATATACATATGTTATATTAATAAATCAAATAGCGGCGAAAGTATTGATGAACTTACACTTGAATAAGTGGAAGATATATAATGGCAAGTTCGGAATAAATGGTTAAGTTGTAAAAAATTAATAAGTAGATCATATTATCTACCTTTGGCACTAAGCCCGGAAACGTTGTATTGACCAGGACCCGGTCCAGGACTGTCATTCTTCGTCGCGTGTCTAAAGATGAATACACAATCATTATACCAATTTAATAAAATTATTCATTTAAATAAAAAAAAAAACAATTTTTTCTCGGGAACTAAGCGGAATTTGTAACAGAACTTACGTACCTGCTGCCAAACGAGAAAGCGGGCGCTCTGCCTCGTTTCGAGTCGGGAACAGTTTTTCCTACAGATTTGATTCATATTTAAAATTTGTTCAATAAATTTTAATACAAAAGAGAGATTTAAATATAAAAATTAAGATTACCGATTAATGGTGGTAATGTTACACAAGCAGGACCCGGGCTACTATACTCTGCAGCGATAGGACCTCGCCTCTTTGTTGGTGTCCACGGTCTTTGTGTCATACCACCCATTTTCGATGTTTGTTTTCGATGATATACTTTTTATTTTTCTCTAAATATAAGAAACAATTACTCGAATTAACTGCTAAAACTTATTTAAGTGACTTTGGAAAATTAAACAAATAATACAGAAAAATATTATAATTCTGATATATGATAGCTGTGAATCAAATTGTGACTAACGTTTATCTTAAAATATGGCTTGCGAGTGAAGGAAGAAGATTCTAAGAATGCACGGCTAGAATTAGGATGGTTTTAAAGATTAGCTAATTCTCCACGTGCGCTCTTCAGATCGTTTTTCATTGTACTGTTCTGCGTTCTTTGGATCATCTTCAATTCCATCGCATTGTTAAACAATTTTTTAAGTTTGAAAAATTTGTGTCTCAATTCCGTGCGAAATTTTTTCATAATATATTATGCTTTTTTTTTGCTTGATGAAACAAGATTGAAATACAAAGTATAAAACTTTATCGTATACATATACTGAGTCATATGAATATTCGTACCCTTTAAAATCGAGTAACTTTTATAAAATTGAACCAAACGATTTGATCTTTCTTGAGAAATCAGAAGAATTAATTCACCAGGTAATGTGTAGACAAATTTTTGCAAAAATTGCAATTGGTCGGAACGCGAAGAACAAAGCAAAGGTCGCTTTTTACAACTTTTTTATCTGGGTCTATAATGAAAATTTAAGCAATACGATTTAAGAGATCAGTTAACGTTGCTATGAACTACGGTTGGAAATCGCAGTTTTTTACGGTTTTTTTATGATCTTTCCTTAAGAAACCACGTACCATTTCTCCTATCATTTACGTCATTTAAAGAATAGAATATTCTACAACAATATTTGGAGTATTTATGTAATCAAAATCGTTGATTTCTGCACAATATGAAATAGACAAATAATTGGTATCTCGTTTTGAAAGGGCAATTAATATATGCATAATATACATCGAAAAGTTATGCCTTTTTCCATGAGATAATCAAAGAGCCTCCTTTGGAATCGTGCAATCAACACGACCTCGAAAGTCGGGCCACGAAAGAAACGACTCACGAACAACCATATAAGAATATGTCCATGGTAGGTATCCAGAATCGCCCACCATTCGACATTGAACTGAATAAAGCATGAATATCACAAATTGTATAGCGTTCAAACAAGTCAAACAAATGCAGGTCAAATGGATGACTCATGACCTACTTATAGTATTTTGTTACTCCATACACATGTACTAACGATATTCTAATAATTGTAAGTGGTACGATCTTTCAGTTAATCTGGATTATGGAAACTTACGTGATTTATTACTGCATATATGTCGTATCTAGAATGTAAAATAGATTTTGGGATGTAGTTGTTAAAATATATATAACATCATTAAGATTATGATTTATATTTATGGTTAATGGGGGTGTTACATCGCATAATAAATTTAGAATAAAATTAGGAAATTTAATAATACTAATACAGACAGACATATTCTTTGTAGAATCATCAAAGAAAATGGACATTAGAGAATCCATCTATATGTTTATATTAGCATTATTAAATTTCACAAATCATCGATAAATATATAACGTGTATATAGTAAAATACATGTTATATAATGTTAAATTTCCGACTTTGTAATATCACCACTATTGAATTAGGATTAAAACACTTTTTTCTTAAATATCTATGTAATATGGTAATAAGTATCAATTAAGTATTGATAATACATTCACGAGAATCGAGCTAGATTGAGAATAAATCGTTATTTATGCGACGAAGGAAAAAAGGTTGAAAGTCACGTGACCGAATTACGTCTTGAAAATTATACAAGACGATTATCGAGAATCGATCATTTAATCGGATTTGCCCAATATGGCAAACACGAGAGACTATCGATCAATCGTACATAGTGGGCTTATGACCTGACTATATATGGCATACTACAGAAAGTGGAATAAAGAAAAATAGGTTAAAATACAAATAGATTTTATCTACCAAATTAAGAAAAGATTCTAATGCTCTTAGTATTACTTCTCTTTAGTCACACAGTTTCCTCCCCGGCTACGCTCAACTCTATCATCAACTAACTTTCATCTCCGTATTCGGACGATGAAACGCCACGAAT